ATTGAAGAAATCCATGTAAATAATCATATGATTTGGCTAAACGAACACAATAAGTTAAATAATTACAAAGATCACAACATTTCATATGTAACTCTTCTACTTTAGCAAGTTCACATATATACAAATAAACATTTTGATTAACACCTCTACAATAATAGTTTACTTCTTTGTCTCTCATTAATTCTCTTTTTTCTGCTCTGTCTTCAAGATTTATCCATACATGTTTTTTATTCTTAGTAAGTTTGAATCTGTAAATTAACACTTTCCACTCATTTACAAACTCATAAAATCCATGTTTTACTTCGTTTATATCATAAGATAAACATACATTGTTAAATAATCTACATGTTCTTCTCAATTTAGCTTGTTCTCTAAAAGTTAGATAAGAAAAAATCTGATACCAAAAATCAAAATAAGTGTTGCTCATGATTGAATAGTTAAAAAATTGCTCAGTAATAATTACTAAGCAATTATAGATATTTTATTAACTAAATATAAATAAAATTAAAAATAAGTTTATACAATTTTAATATCCTGTAAAATTTTCTGTTGACGTTTAGAATCTCTATATAGTCGCATAGCTTCACGATTAACAATATAATTAAAATTATCGAATTCTTCATATTTCTTTAACTCATCATCAGTGTTGTAATATTCAAGTACAGATGAATAACCTAAAATAGTATCATAAACTTCTTCTTTAATCAATATAAAATCCTTTTCATTCTCTATATCAGGATTTTTCATGTTTGTTCAACGATAAATCTCATCTTTTACTTCTAATTCATATTGAGGTTTCAAATCATTAATTACAGACCACCAGTTAATATCAAATCTATATTTCTCAGGATTTGATCTTACAAAATCAAAAACTGTATTAATAATAGTTTCATTATCATCTCTTCCGTCATAAAAGAGATCTTGTAACTGATCATATAAATATGATGATTCTATTTTTTCAAATTCTTCTGAAGAATATTCTGAAGATAGATCACTTAAAGATTGCTGAGACATTTTATGTAATTAATTTTCTATTCGGTAAATATTTACTGAACAGATATATACAAAAAAATATAAAATATTGCTATGAAATAAGTTTTTCAAACATTGAATTATACTCTCTGAAACAGCAATCAGCTGGTTTATGATCCTCTTTGTTAGAGCAATCATTCTCGAACTTGATATGTTCAGGATATATTTTCATAATTCTAGAATCATATTCTTGATACAACTTGGTAAAATATTCTGTATCTGTAGTTTCTCCTGGTCGATTTCTTATTTC